CTCTTCTCTATCTCTTTCTGTTTAGTTGTTTCTTCTATTTCTTAAATTGGTATCAGAGTCAATTGTTGAACAATAAACATGGATTCAATTTTCACAATGTCAAATCTAAAACACCAGCAGACTACAACTTCATAAAACAAATTTAGAGAATAAATATTCTCATAACTTTAAAATTCTTGACATCTCAAATCAAGAATTTGACCAGCATAAGCCTAACTCAAGATAATTATCTTGTTTGGAAGAAATAAATATCAAAACTACTCGTAACTAATGGTTTTGATTCATTTTTAGATACCAAGATTTTCCTCCCACCAAGATCCATTCTAGATGAGAATGAAACTATTCTTGAAAATCAAGATTATCTACAATGACAAATGATTGACAGAAACCTTGTTGTCGCAATATTCTCCACTCTCCCTCAATTCTTCCTTACGCAGAAATCGGACATATCTTGGAGAAATGGTTTCAAGTCTTAAATTGATATAGTGTTATTCAACTTAAGAATGAACTCCATAATATTATCATAGGAGAAAATTTTATGACCCAGTATCTTACCATTATCAAGAATATGGTGAATAGCATTACAGCGGTCGGTCCCAAAGTAGATACTGAAAATATTATTTTTTATACTTTAAAAGGATTACCCTCTAGCTATCAAAGATTTAAGACTACTATTAGAACAAATCTGCAACCAATCACATTAGATGATTTTTATGCATTATTACATAGTTAAAAATGCAATCTTGCAAATGAATCAGCAAAATTCATTTGGCGTGTGCTGCATTTCTTACATTTAAAAATAAAGGGGATACCACAATTTAAGAAACTTCAACAAAAATCAGACAAATAATAAAAATTTGCATAACTGTAATATATTAAAAATTTAATTAAGTGTGATATGTCAGATTTGTAACAAGAAATGATATTCTGTCACACAATGCTGACATTGATCAAATTTATTGTACAAAACATCTTTTATTTCTTAGGTAACTACACTAAATACTCAAATTCGTGTTCAACTGTAATACTAGACACAGGTGCAACATTCATCTCATATCTAATATGGACACCTTGCGACAACCCCTTCCTTACAAAGGAGCTGAACAAGTCTTGTAAAGAAATGTATGATCTTGATTTTTATTTTCAATTTTCATGATAAAGGAAACTATACAACTTTTATTGAAAAAAAGAAAGAAGAAATCAATGCTTATGCTTTGAAGGGAAGAACAAATCCATTCTTGAAAAAATTTAGTTTGAGTAGTTCTTAAATCACTACTCCTATGCGTTTGAAGGGAAGAATTGATTATAAATCTTTGTAGCCTTGTAGTCAATTCGATTTTTTTAAATATATATATATATATATACTTGATGAGTAGTATTTCGAGCCAAAACGAGCCGAACACGAACAAACACATCTTAGTTCGTGTTCGACTCGTTAACTTATCGAACGAAATTAACGAGCCGAACACGAGCTGTTCGCGAACAACGAGCCGTTTTGACAGCCCTAGTTGTGGTCGGCAATTATCAAAATTTTAATGTAACTCATGTTAGTAATGGTATGCTTCCAACTCTTGACAGTAAATTGAAACTCTTTTATTTTTAGATTTTAAAAATTATCTCACAATCTCATATCGATGCATAAACTTATTAGGGATAATAATTACAAATTATTTTTACTGCTGATATATTTAAGATTCAAGACTAGTACTAAAAGATTATTCTCACTGATGTAGTTAATCAAGAGTTTTACTATATAACAGCACTTAATACTACCATGAACTTAAATACATGGCATCAAAGATTGGGATACCTTCATAATAAATTTTTTTATTATTTCTCATTCTCACCCTCACATTAATATTTATTCTTTTACTTTTAAATGCAAGATTCTTATCAAAAATAAGTCAGAAGCTGTTTTTTATGTGTAATTGCACTACATATCATAGATTAAAAATGTTATGTTCTAATATTTAGGAGTTTTTTTACATCCTTCTATAGAATAATATAATTGTTATATTATATTTATTGATGTTTTCTCTCGTTATTGTCGATGCATTCCATTACGACATAAATCTGAAATTATATCACAATTTATTTTCTCACATAAAATGATAAGAACTCACTTTAACTTAAATATAAAATATTTGAGAATTGTTAGTGGAGGAAAATATATGTTTACTGAGCTTAAAGTTTATCTTCAAAATGATGGTATTCAATATCAATTTATTTTCTCGTATACACCTGAGCAAAACGGTATTGTTGAAAGAGAACATAGATATATAATAAAAACTGCAAGAACCTTAATTAATACATTAAGTTTACCAATAGAATTTTGGATGGAAGTCATACAAACTGTGACTTATCTTATAAATTGACTTTCATCTACAAATACTCAAAATAAATATTTATTTCAACTATTATATAAAATGAAACTTGAATATCAATATTTGAAGACATTTTATTGTCTCTGCTTTCATTGGCAACAACATAATATCCATTATAAGCTTTCTCCCAAAGCTCCTCAATGTATTTTCGTGAACTAAAGCTCACAACACAAATGATATAAATGTTTTGATATTCAGGCTAGCGAATTTATTATTTACAGACATATTAAATTCATTAAAAATCAATTTTCTTACAAACACTTCATAAACAAACACTTAACTTTGGCTCAGTTTACTCAAAATATTTTCCCACCATCTTCTTTTATCACTATCTTTTTGCTTACATCTACATCTCAACAGAATATAACTCAACCAACACACACTACTGCATTTTCTCAAATGCATTCTCCATACTCTCCTTCCTCAACACCTACACCTAATATTCCATCCCAAATACTCCTACTCAAAGCTCTCAAACAACACCTACGCCCGAGTAGTGCAACATTTCAACTGGCAACATGCAATGTCCGACTAATTCATCGCATTACAACAACAAGTTACGTGAAAACATATTCCAACACCTAAAAATCAAAACATCTTAGGCTATGCATGGATTTTCCAAAATAAATATCATGTAGATGAAATTATAGTCAGACACAAATCAAAAATAGTTACACAAGGCTTTTCTCAATAATGTGTATATTATCAGAAAACTTTCAATAATGTAACAAATATTCTTACAATCAGATTGATTATTCCAGTTATTAATAAACATAGGCAAAGCCAGCAAATAGATGTTTTCAATGCATTCTTACATGGGAGACTTGATGATGTTATTTATATAAAGCAACCATCAGAATTTTTAGATGCTCATTATTCTTATTGTCTACAAGTTACAAAAACTTATCTATTGTCTCAAGAAAGCTTCTTGTCAATGGTATTCTACATTTTGTAGTTTTTTATGTAATCAATAATTTATTTTAAACATTGTTGATCCTTCTCTTTTTATTTAGCGACAAGATAATATATATATTTACTTGTCAATGTTGATGACATACTTATCACAGGAAATTATACTACTATTATCATTGAGTTAATTAATAAATTAAATAATTAGTTTAACTTAAAAAAATTGGGAATCATATGCCATATTCTAGGTTTAAAAATTTAAAGCACTGCTCAAAGATGTTTTCTCACACAAACTCAATATTTAAATGAACTACTGCATAAAACAAAAAATGAATAATGTAAAATCAGTTTTAATTCCCCTCTCCGCCCGCTCATATAAGACCACGTACCTCATTATACTTATGAAGGAACCCAATTTGAATAGGCAGATTATTGGATATCCCTAATAACTTACTATTACAAATCTGAATATTCTTTTCACTGTCAATTATCTTAGTCAATATATGGTCTTATTCAATATCTCAATACTCTTAATTATGGTCTTCCAATTGTTTCTGTTGATTTGTATTTAAGTGCTTATGCAGATGTCGATTAGGCCAGTGATCATAATGACAGAAAATCAACAACTGGTTTTTGCATTTATATTGAACCGAATATTATCTCTTGATCCGTGAAGAAACAATCTACAATAATCAAATCATCCACTGAAGCCGAATGTAGGGCGCTAACCACCACAACTACAAAGATCCTCTGCTACTATAACTTGTTTTGAAAATTACCAATCAACTGTTGCAATCTACAATCATTCGCAATGATAGCATGTTTGTCATAGCTCTAGCTTACAATTTGATGTTCCACGCTCGAACGAAACACATAGAAATGAATTATCACTTTACTCGAGACCATATAAAATTTATACACATCACTTTACATCAAATTATGATTACGGATCAACATGCATATATTTTTACCAAACCAATACCCGATCAAAAGCCATTAAAATCTTACCAAGAAGTTGACGATCACAAGTTTAGAGCATCATCTTGAAGGGAGCTAGAAGGAGATATTTTGTGCTGCTATTATCGAGCTATATTGTGTATGGTTAATATAAAATGGGCATTATTTTCCTGATTCCTCTACTCCAGCTATCGCATTGGTTTCGGAGGTGTTCAGTAGTCAGGGCTTTAGTTTCTATAAAATGGGCATTTATAGTAGTATGTTTAAAGTTATACTGTGTTTTTTGCCCAGTTGTATGTTTACAAGTTTGTCATGAAGGTTGTTTATATATATTGATTGATGTATTATCAAACATTCAAGTGAAATTAAATAAAAGATGTGCCACTTATTTTTCTTCGTGCTTAGTAAGAATTTCCTCCTCTTTCTCTGTTGATTTGTTACCTATTTCTCGAGTGATTTGTGAATTAACTTAGTTGAATGCTAGGTTTTATTTGACTGAAATTGTATGTGAAGAATAGAGAATAAATTTATGATTTTATATTGAATTTCGCCCTCGAATAGGATCAAACCCTATTCATACAAATTTATGGAGGGTTTTGTATTCAGTTCAATATTCAATTGCTTCATATCATCTAATTTATTAATTAAACATTTGGTGATTTCTAAAACAATCAGAAATTTCTAGATGCTAAGACAATGAACCAATCAATTTTCCTTTCTTTTTTTTTTTCAGCAGTTTGTACTAACTTGCGAGTGATACGTTTCTACTATTGGTCAGAGTGTGATACAGATAACTATTAAAGCAAATTTCAACACTCTTTGGCAAAATTATCAACATTAGCTTCCAAATGTAACAAATTCCTTTGATATGAATACAGGCAACTATTCTTTACATCTTTGATCATGTAAAAAATATAATGAGACAAAAAGATGAAATTTCGAAGTCTATTGTTTGATAGACTTATAGACCTCCAACAACAAAACCCTAAATCGTCCGACATCAATCTTTACCATCTGTTTGTCTAGAAAGATTGACCATAACTGATTCCATCCTTGCTGATGGATTGAAAAAGGATCCTTGAAGACTGCATGATCTCTTGGATACAGTTTTATTAATGAACTCTCATCATCTTTAATCTCATATTCCAAATACTTAATCCCCATGTCTGGAGCTGGCTCACCGAAGTCATGTCTACAAGCGTAAGTTAATCCTCCCAATGGGATTATTTGAATCACTGTTGAGTTCTCTGGCAGGAACAACATATTAGCTAGCCCAGCGCCATGTACTCCCATCATCACATCACAGGAATTCACAATTTCTGCAAACTTTGTCAATTCCTTCATCTCCTCTGGCCTTGCAGTGATCACCTTATAACCTATCCTTCGAGCCATCATAATTACTTCTTTTTCATTCATTATTGATCTTGATCCTTTTCTTAGTATCATCAGTAATCTTGGTTTTCTCCTTGATTTCTTCCCAACTATAGAACTTCTTTTAAGGGAAAAGCTTTCCCTGAGAAACCTCTTGAAATCAGACATAGTGTAGCCTTTTGGGGTCTTTGAAGGATCAATTCCAAGAACTCTGTGGCTTTTTAGGCCAACATGAACACAAGGGAAGCAATGGATATTCTTCTCTATGTCCATATTAATGACCTCAAATCGAGAGAGGCCTAGCAGAATCGGTCTGTATTTATTGATCCACTTGGCATTGAAATCAGTTACAAGGAACTGAACATTCCCATTAAATTGGCGAGATGTAACAAAGAGTGGGATCAGAACATCAGTGAAGTCATGGAAGAAATTGCCTAGGAATCCACCTGTGGAGAATATGATGGCAGGAACTGCATGGTTTTGATTACAAGTGAGATTCTGTTGTAGTTTTGATGATGTTTTTAGGCTTAATTCCTTGATGTTCTTCATTGACTCTGGTTCCCATTTCCTTGCGTAGGGTTTTATAATGTGTGTATGGTTCTCCAAGGGAATTGGAGACTCTGAGGACATCGCTGCAAAGATGGTGTAAGAGCTACTAAGGACTCTGATATCACCAAACATGGAACAGGTATCTGATCTTGATTCTGAAAGATCACAGACAATCCTGCCTTCTTGACCAATATCACCTGCAAATATTTAATAATAAAGGTTCTGGTTAGATGCTGAAATCAAATCACTTTAAATTTGGGCTATAGAAGTAGTTAATGTAACACCGTAAAGCTCAAGTGTTACTCTAAATAATGGAGATTCAGCTAAGATACTTCTAGATGGATTGAACTCCAAGAATGACTCGGTGAGAGTTTGCTAACTTTTGATTTCGTAATTTGGGGCTTGGAAACTGTTTGTTGTTGGGTAACTATGTTTTGGATAGCTCTTGTGTAATGTGTAGTTTTGTACTCGAGAATTACTTCCTCCATTTTGATTCTCCTCTTGGCTACTGCTTGCAATTATGTGTCTGTGCTCCTCAGATCTGCTGGTAAATGTGTGAGTTTGATCCATCGCCTTAATATTTACATTAACTGTAAAAAGCGAGTATTTAATTCAAGATTATTCAGTTTTGCTGAAGAAAAGAGTTGCCTGAGTGTAATTGGGTATATGTGTGAATTCTCCGTCAGAGAATGCACTTACCTTGTTTTTTCTCTTCCAGTTTTTCTAGCAGGTCCAGTGATGAGCTTTCAACTTCATTGCCTGCTTGGATTTAAATTTAAAGAGATTAATCGATCACAATTTTTTTTTTTTGCATGCTTCTATATTAGTGCTCCACAGATAGTACTGACCTTCTAGTTTTTGTTTTCCTTCAGATTTCTTTTGATGAATGACTTGTACTGACACTATGGTTTCATTGCCTGCACTTCGAAACATAACTGAGCTACTGTGACATTTTACAGGGAACATGAAATCTTCTAAATGAAAGAAATCTGATAATGATGTGCTCTGGTAAAATTGTTTTGAAGATTCCTAGCAATATATATATATATATAGATATATATATATATATATATATGTTTGAATTGACCTAATGGCTGACTCACTGCCATTTTTGGATAGGACTTTACAGGAGATAGAGAAAAAAAAAATTTAGAGAGATTTGCATGAAACGTTGTTATACAAAAATCATCAAATCAATGCGTACAAATATTTCTAGGTATTCTATTAAAAAAAAAAATCAACATTATAATCGTAGTAAGCTTCTACACTACTACAGAGACTTGATTAAAAAAAATTTACTCCCATATTAATACTGGTAACTCTGGAGAAATCCCTATAAAGAATATATTATTGTTGGTATAACAAGCATTAGTATAATTCAATGATTAGATGGTTCACTGTTCTAGTCATTGGAAAATGTGTTATTACAATGTCAAGTCTTATATAGAGATTGTTTTGATTCGCAAGTGAAACTGGAGAAAATCTCAATACTGTTTTTCTTTTATCCAAGGAGAAGACAGACCAACCAAGAAGGTGGAGAAGAATTGACAGGCAGAATTCCAAATGGGAATTGTCAATGGGGTCAAAGCTCAGGATTTTCTTATGAATTTGAGATTGTTCTCTACCGAATTATGGTCAAAATGATTAAAAATATGATCAATATATCAATATTATGAAATATATTATTGGGATTTATATTGGAGTGTATCAAAGAAATGCTTTTCTACTTGTGTCAGAAAATTATTGGATGATCATTCCTATGAGTCTGCCCAATATGCCCTCGTCGGTCAGGTTGACCCAAGTTTAGTCGTAGCTGCTAATGGTGATTTTCTCATATTGAAGTTAAATGGAGTTGAAAAATGAAATATTTATTTATCACATTATGTTAAAAAATTTTATGAAGTATAATCTTAATATTATCTTCACAATAAATGTTGATATAAAAAAAATGACTTTTGGAGGGATTTTTCATCTGCACGAGAAGAAACAAATCCCACATGATTCTTAAATTGCCATGTGACGGGCAAGCAATGGCAGGAGATTAGCAGTGACAGGTGGCGAGCAGTAGCATGCGGAAGGTAGATTGGCTGTGGCACGCATGCCATGTGACGGGCAAGCAATGGCAGGAGATTAGCTGTGACAGGTGGCCAGCAGTAGCATGCGGAAGGTAGATTGGCTGTGGCATAGAGGTCAAGAATGGGTAGACGGCAGGCAGGCAAGTGGCGGCGACGAACAACGGTCATGGATAGGGAAAGTGATGTCATGGGTTCTATGTTTTTCCTATATTTTAAAATTTTCTGATTTTCACATATTCCAAATTCACCAAAAATAAAATTTTGAGGTATCCAAACTACCTATGCAAATGTTTTGTATATTTTATATTTCTAATCAAATACTAAAGAAGCCAAAATCTTTGCTTTTTGCACTCCTAACACTTGCAACCAAAACAACCACTTGAATGAACCTTCATTGAGAAGTTTTAGTTTAAAAGGGAGACAAGTGGGAATATTTTATGCCATGCCTGAAATTTCCTGACTTTTTGTTGAGAGACAAGCTAAGTGCTACAATATCGAATTCACAGAACAAAAACTACCGCAAAAGTAGTTGAACATGAGTTATGGTTGGATGTCAAGCGGCGTGGCCGCGTTCTGATGAGATGAGTTCGCTTTGAAAACTATGAAAGACTCCGAACAGCCGCACCTTCTGGTTCTGACTCAGTTGAAGCCAGTTAAATATTCTTGGCCTACAAACCTTTTTTAGGTTGAACTTCTGGTATGATTCACAGAACCCATGCTCCCATGGGAGTACTATGGCCAGGCAACATAAGTTTTCTTCTGATTTTTAAGCTAACCATAGTATTCAATTATTTGATATTGGTCAAAATATTCTTGTTTATATTACAAAAATATCATGATTTACAATTAGATACATTTACTCTATGTGCAATTTCATCAGTGTTACTTAAATTATTGAACTTGTGAATCATTTTACTTTATTAGCTAAAGAGGTTAACCACACACTGGTATTTTGGCCTGGTCTAAAAAGTGTTAGTGTCATCTTTTATTTTTATTTTAGACCTCAAAATGCTTGTGGGATTCCAATTGGCCTCTTATTGTGGAATGAATGTTGAGTTGCTTCAGAAATAATCAAAGGCTAGACTAATTGAGGTCTCCATTACGCTAAAAGAGTTAGTGGAGTTTCCTTTGTGCTTCTTTTTGTCAATGTTCACTTTCTAAAGATTGGAATGAATGAAACCATCCAATTTGTGGATCCTACCAAGCACTAAATATTATTGTAGTGTGGTGTAATATCATGTTTTGACATTGGCCCTTATCATTTAACTAAGTCAAACTTTTGTGTTTGCCTCATGGTTTCATATTTTTCATCTATATTATTATTTGTTGTGCGAGATATGATGCACATTATTTGCCCTTTTCTCGAGAATTTCTATTATGTAAAGTAGCCATCTTTTGAATAATCTCAATTTTTTTATAATGGATTCTATCTTATCAGTGTGTTAATGTATCTCTCAAATTCTGTAAAGTAGCCATCTTTTGAATAATCTCAATTTTTCATGGAGTCATATTTCTATAGTGGATTCAATCTTATCAGTGTGCTAATTTGTCTCTCAAAATTGAAAATATGAAATGATATCATTGAGGATGCCTCTAGAACCACCTCAAGCATGTCTTATTAAATGTAATTAAGAGATTGTGAACTCTTTAATATGGTGTCGTTTGCCAGCGAAGAAATACACAATGATTGAAATGATTCATGTCATGGCTTTTCGATAAAAATTCAACATTGATTGTCGACTACCTAACAAAGAGATAGTGGACTCAAAATGAGAGAGATGGTTGCATGCTAGGTTGGTCTCTTCAACGGAGTCTTCACCATACTCCCTACTAGAAGGCAGGTGGAGTCATCTAGGGATGAGTTAATGCGATGAGGCATTTGGCAGTTATGTTAATGGTGCCTACAACATGAGAGGAGAGGAGGAAAACTCATTGAAAGTGCTCAAAATGTAGGGGCATTTACACACATACCACCCAATTCCTATGTATTTACATATCTAACACCTAAAGTTTGCATTTTTACATTTATACCAGTCAAATCTTTTGTATCACAAAAAAAAAATCACTATTTTAAGTCATAAAAAGTGAAATACACCTTTTCATGCATGGGTGATGTGGCAATATGTAAAAATTAAAATTTATAAGGGTTGGATATGTAAATACATAGGATTCAATGTGGTATGTATATAAATCTTCCAAAAAGAAATGTAATGACTTTTTAAATGCATAGACATGCTGCATTTGAAATTTCATTTGTGTTTATTTTATGGATCATTTTATTATAATATATAAAAGGTAGGATGGCTTCCCTGCTTCTCATTGTGTATTTCTCCATTTATTGACCTTATCATTATGCCAAAAATATGCTATATATTTATATATATATATATATATATATCACAAAATGAAAGCTTGACATATGAATTATGCGGTATGTATGTAATTCTTCATAAATAATTATTTAGTTATTTATATTTTAAAGCCAAAAAAAAAATGTAATTCTTCATAAATAATTATTTAGTTATTTATTTGTATTTTAAAGCCAAAAAAAAAAGAAATGGTGGGAGGGAAATAAAGAAGAGTGAGCCACAACAAGCACTTTGCTTGTGTCCTAATTGAAGCCTATGCAAGGCATGGCATCTTTAGGTGTAACGTCACAATCTAACATGGGCCATATATATTTTTAGAGGCTAATGTATGTGAAGATAATTATGAAAATTGAGCTTAGCTGCACCACACATTTCCCTTTCTAGTGCTTCAATCCTTCACAATCAATCCATTAATTTCTGATATATTTAAAAGATTTTATGCGAGGCATTCATATATCAATATCAATTCTAAACTATAAAGTGATAACTACATCATGGTCTTTAAAGTATTCTTTAGAAATAATAATTAATGATAGGGATGTATGCTTGATTTGCATTATATTCATATAGCTGGATAGCAATATAATATGTATACATATATTGTATGTATTTATATAGCCTTCAAAGATATTAAGACCCTTCAGCCCCCTTAAATTTTTTAATGATGATTGTATGTATGTACTTGTGTCGTCAGTTGTGACCTTTTTGTAAAGCAGCCTCTTTGAAGGTCGTAAGTCCCCTCAAGTCATGGGCTCGAATACCCCTCTGACCAGTTTGTCGGTAATGAAGGCAGCACTCGAATAGTTAGACACATGAGAGTGGTTGAGGGCTTGTATGATAGCCTCTGGCCGTTCTTTAAAAAAATATATATTGTTTTTTCTTAAATTTGCCTAACGTCTAAAACTTATTTCTACAGCTCCAACGCTATAAATGAAAGCGATTTGTGCCTTCATAGCAAAATGAATGTTTTTAATCGTTTGTCATACTTTTATCCAAATATTTGGCCTTTGCTTCAAAGGATGCAAGTGTCTATGATTAGAAATTAACATTTAGTCATATTTTCATTAAATATATGAAAATTTATTAAATGGCTATCTAATAATTGTTGCTTTTAGTCTGAAATTAAAACAAAAAATATTACCCAAATGATTTCAAATACTGAATGATTTGTGGACAAAATATTAAGTGTGGCGGACGGTGCTGACAATGGTCTAGTTGCAGCCACGCCACCGTGTATCTGAGGAGCCTTAAGTGGTTAAGCTCATACGCCATCAATATGTACATATTACTAACACACTCATTCATTGACTGAAACACATTATCCATTTATGAGTACATATGTTTTGATTTCTATTCTTTTTTTTTCATTTATGTGTGTATATTTTCTCCAAAATAAATAAATAAAAACAATATATGCGGTTTTGAAATGTCTGCAATCTGATTAATTAATCTCTCCCAAACGTCTTCTTCACGCGCAGTACTTTTACTCTTTAGTGTCCACACAGTTGACAATCAAAATTTATTTAATCATAGATAAAAATTTTAATTAGTTCCTTAATCTACAATTAAATTTATTTAATCATAGATTAAACTTTTAATTATTTCCTTAATTTTAATGCTTACGTGCAACCATATTCATTTGAATCAAATACAGCAAGTCATCATCACTTAATTTGCGTACATAAGACGTACGTAGAGCTGCGTACGTCTATAACCTGCAAACAGGTTACGGGGAGGATTTTAGGAGGTTATAACAGCGTTATACCCCCTGTAAACTCCTTGTAACCTACCTGTATATGAAAACAGAAGCGCAGAACTTACTAGAAGGTATAGGTAGGTTACATGGAGGTTACAGGAGGTATAACGCGATTATAACCTCCTAAAATCCTCCCTGTAACCTATTTGTAAGTTACAGACGTACGCAGCTCTGCATACGTCTTATGTACTCAAATTTTTCCCTAGTCATCTATATACTGTTATCTAAAGTTGTTAATATTAATCACACATAATTATCTTTACAGTGCTGAAAATTGATTTAAACTTAAAAACAGAAAATAAAAATATTAAATTAGAATCTTTTATTTTGCTAGACAAAATTGAATTTTCAAAACAAATTATCTTCAAAAATACTAAAAAAAATCCCTCTTTTTTAATTTTTTTTAACAAAATCTTTATATCTTAATCTAATTTTTTTTCTTAATTTTCAGCATAAGTGCAGTTTGAAAAGATTGATTTCTAAATTAAATCGGCAAGAGATTATCACTAACCTGCAGGTTTCTCAGTAAAGCTTCTTGCTTTAAGTTCCTTCACCTTCGTACAAGGCACATCTCCATGTCCCCATACTTTAAAACTCACTGAAAATAATCAAACGCATATTATGTTATCTCATCATAATCTACATATATTATATGTATATAGCAGCAAATATTCAGAGAAATCAACAATCTGTAAGATATTATTGATTCTAATCATCAGAAAAAATAATCATTAATCATTAATAATATCACTAGTTCATGACTAATCGGATGGCTTGATTGGAAATTATATGACTTACAGAAGGGCGAGGGACGGTGGGAGGTTTGCTTAGTTATGGCGATGAAGAAGATGGTGATGAGAAGGAAAGTGAGGACGGCGGAACGGCCGAGATTCTCTGCTTTGATCCGACTGAAGCTGTGGTATGGCTTCGACTTCATTAATTATCTCTGTTTTGGTTATGGCTCTGTATTCTTCTTCTTCCTCGCCGGCCGTTTGCTCGGCGTTAAGTTTTATTTATATGTGCGTGTGCGTGTGTGTTGAGAGTAAGAGAGTTGAGGTTCTCGAATGCCTCACGCCAACGGAATGCTGACAAGTACAGATGATGCGGGAGAATGCATAGAAAGCCCAAGGAACCAAATAATGTTTTTTTTCTTATATATATATTACGAAAGAAATATTCATATGCTATTATACAAGCCCTGGTTATTCCTCATGTGCTTAAGAGTTCGAGTATCACACCCTACATTCGGGGGGAATTGAACTTCAGACTAGATGAGACATACAACTAACAAACCAATGCTCGATCAGCTTATCTGAGTACGTGGTGCTTTTCTTTTATATATATATATATGTGTGTGTGTGTGTGTGTGGCCTGTTATATGACGAACCTCAGTCATCTCTAGGTGTGCTAAGTATTCGAGTGTCATACCCTACACATATGATGATTGAAATCAGTGACCGGAGAGTACTTTACGAACTTTAGAGACTACTCTATCAATAATCCACGGAACATGCAAACAGCTATATATATATATATATAGACAGGAGGGTACTTTACGACCTTCAGAGAGACTACTCAACCAATACTCCAAGGAACATGCAAACAGATATTTATATATATATATATATATATATGGAAAATTTGATTATGAATATCTAATAATCTTTCTTTTCGTTAAAATGAGTAATTTCATTGAATTATGAGGGTAATATAAATTTAAGAAATTGGTTGATTTTTTATAAATCAATTCAGGTATAAATTAAATGTTTTTTTGTTAGATTTTTTATGTCTAGCATATATGTTGACATGATGTTGACTCCAGCTCAAGTTCGACAATATCAATAAGTTCGAACTTATATAGTGTCATAAATTCGTCCTCTCTCAAGATTTGCATGTGTGTGTGTGTGTAAAAGAAGAATAAATCAAATTAGCAGTCATATTTTTCATAACAATGTATGTACATCAAAAAATGTGCTATTGTTGATCATGAAGACATCTAACCGTCCAAAGGAGAATATTACAATGAAGGATGACCCACTGACATAATATCATGAGACTCGCTTATCCGACCAAGTGTAGTTGTCTGAGCCAAAAGCTGACTGAGCCATAAAAGATGACTGAATGACTTGAGTCCGAGTCATTCTGTAAGAAACGAGACAAAGAGACATCCAGGCAAATCGGCGTGAGGAAGCTGGCTCGAGGGAAAATCTAGCTCATCGGCATCTTCAATCATATCGGTGTCTAGAAGCTCCCCCATTTATTTTTAAGGGTTGAAATCAGACTAACTCGACCAACAAAACCAGTCCTGCCAACCTGAAGCTAATCGAGCTCAACCGATTGGAAGCACCAATCAAGCCCAGTAAATCAAAATGGATCTACCAAGCCTAAGCTATATAAGCTTAGTTGAACGAGCGAATACCAAGTGATTGGCTCATACCAATAATATAACAAAAATACCTTATGCCGCCCCCATGAAAACTGTGTTGAAAATATAACATCATCACATTATACTCTCTATCTCTCTTCTATGAATAAGGAAATCATTTCATGTACAAAGGAGGTTCGATATATGTGATTTTAGCTGAAAATGTCAAGAAAGGTAAACATGATTGATACAAGTTAATGTTCACTCGTCTATATATATATATATATATATATATATATATATATATCTTTT